GGTGGGCCTTGTGGAGTTGCATCTGGTTATGGTGGGGGTGAAGAAAGACACGACAGCATTTAGGGTTTAGGACTTTAGGGTTTTAGGGTTTAGGGTTTAGGGTTTTAGGGTTTAGGGTTTCGGGTTTAGAAGAACAGGCAGGCCTACTGGGACGAACTGGCCACAAAATATCAATACCCCAGGATGCCTGGACCCGGCCTCAGCAGAACGATGATGGCAGTTGGCCAAGATTCAATGGGCCGGACAATTAGGGTTTAGGGTTTAAGATTCAATGGACCGGACAAGACAGTTTCGTGTTGGCGAAGGAGAACGGTAAGTACTACTTGCACAACACGCAGCGCGAGGAGGAAGTGGACCTAGGCCCTAGGCGACGGAGACTTTCAGGCCTAGCAGGGGGAGGTTCTGAGGCTGTCCTAACTTGATCCTGATCCCCAAGTAACCTACCCCCAAACTCTCAAATTCTCTCGAGCTGTCTCTTAAACCCAAATCCGCCCCCAAAACTCTAAAGCCCTAAAGCCGTAAAGCCAAAGTTTAAAGCCTGAGCCCTAAACCCTAAACCCTAAACCCGAACTCTTAGTCGATGGATCCGGTCTCCAGGCAATGCCCAAGTTGAATGCCAAGAAGATCACGGCCGCGGCCTCCAGCACTAGAAGGGGTCAATTGCCCAGAGACTCCAAAACCCCTTAGTTAAGGAATATACCTTAAAATATCATATGAACCCTAATAAGCTATTAGGTATATTCCGTGATTAAGGGGTTTTCGAGAATCGGGTATTGCTTAGGGTTCTAGATATCAGACTGGTTCTTAATTTAACCAGGGTCCCAGAAGGGTTCTCCTAGTCTTACTCTGATAGGGGCCCTAATGTATTGTCGGAAGGGTCCGTCACAAGGAGCCCATAGGGGTTCTGTAAGCCAAACTAAGAGAGATCCAAACTCCCACCTAAACCCCAAACCCTAAACCCGAGACCCTAAACCCCAAACCCCAAACCCTAAACCCTAAACCCTAAACCCTAAATCCGAAACCCTAAGCCCCAAACCCTAAACCCTGAACCCCCAACAGTAAAGCTCAATGACCCCAGATGCCCGGGCACTAGACAGCCAATCCCTGAAGTTAAGGGCTTCGAATCTGGGGCTTTATGCTTAGGGTTAAGGGGGTTCAAGTTATCGGGTTTAGGTTTGGGGTTAGGGCTTTTGGGGTTTAGGGTTTAGGGGGTTCAAGATTTGAGGTTCAGGGTTTAGGGGGGGGTTCGGGTTTAGGTCTTAGTTTTGGGGCTGGACGCAACAGTAAGAGGCTAGGGACTCAGATTGGGTGCATGTGTACAGGGCCAAGTACCATACAACACAGTAAGGTCCCTAAACCCTAAACCCTAAACCCTAAACCACTTGAACCCCTAAACCCCTAAACCCCTAAACCCTAAACCCCTAAACCCCTAAACCCTAACCCCCTAAACCCCTAAACCCAGGTCTTTGGATAGTCATGAGCCTTGGTCCCCACATTCTATACTGTAGGGCCCTTAATAATTAGAATAGGGGTTTGGGTATCCTATACTATACCTATAATAAGGAGCCCCCCCAAATAACATAGGTAATTCGTTAGGCCCCGACGTTAGAGTTTAAACCCTAAACCCTAAACCCTAAACCGGCAAACGTCGCAACCAGGGACTTGTACTCTCTTCGAGTTTGAGGGTTTGGGGGGGCCAGGGTTTACTCGACTACCTGAACCTACCAAAACCTATTTTTCTGTAGGCTCTTATTATAAACTCTAATGTGAACTAATATGGAATTTATCACGATTCTATAGGGACGAATTTATAGGGACCCTACGAATAAAAAGTTGGTTTTGGTAGGTTAGGGTAGAGTGTGCAAGGTGGCCGATAACCTGAACATGCTCGAACAAGCATCGCCATCCAGCGCTCTCCCGGTTCCTTTAGGGTTTAGGGTTTAGGGTTTAAGTTGCAAGTTGTAAGTTGCAAGCAGACTAATATAGGGGACTTATAATAGTTATTTATAGTATGTTTTCGGGGGGTTCCTTCTCATAGTTATAGTAGACTATATCCCAAAACCAAATTCTAATTATTAAGGACCCTACATAAGGCCCGAGAACTTGAGAAGCAAGAGTAGCCAACCTAAATAGTTAGTTGCATGATCCTCCCAATGCCCACAACCAAAAGATGGTACCGACACCCTAAACCTTGGGTACTGCCCCCACTCAGTAACAGTCGGATAATACTTATATTATGGATATCTTAGGCCCTTAATAGTAGCCCTATTATAGACTGTTACTGTATGGGGGCAGTACCCAACCTAAACCCAAGATCCCTGAGGTCAAGAAGATGACCGCGGTAGACTTGGCAAAGCGTCTCGAGGAGGGCAAGGACCGCTCCTTTTTCCTAAACTCCGCTATACCCTAAAGTCTAAACCCTAAACCCTATATATAAACCCTAAACCCCCCAAACTCTGCACCCTAAACCCTTGAGGGTTTAGGGTTTGGGGCTCCGGGGACGATACGCGTTGCTATAGCTTAGGCCTGGCAAGGCAGACAGGCGAGAGGTCCTCTCCAGTTAAGGAAGAGTTGCAGGTTTGAGGTTTGGGGATAAAGTCAAGGGTTTAGGGTTTAGGATTTAGGGTTTAGGGTTTAGGGTTTAGGGTTCAGGGTCCAGGGTTTAGGGCTTACAGTCTAGGGTTTAGGGAGTTTGACGCATTCTGCCCTTGTGAGCTTTGGAACCGCCCTACACTCAGGGAGCAAGCCAACCATTCCACACATGAGTCACGGTCCAAACCCCGTATTTTGGATGGCACGGTTTAGAAACTGTCTTGGACTATGAGGGCGGCTGCAACTACATGCATAGCTTGCGTTCAGTCAGAGGATGCGTTTGTGTGGGCCTGGCCGATTACCCATACCCCGCCCGATACCTATGTGTGTGTGTATATATATATATATATGTATGTATATATATATATATATGTATGTATGTATATATGTATATATATATATATGTATATGTATATGCTTTTAATTTGCTAAAAGCAGAGCACATATAGGCAAAGACAGAGAGAAAGAGAGAGAGAGAGAGGGTGTGAGAGAGATGGGGCAAGAGAGGCAGAGAGAGAGAGAGAGAGTGAGGAGGCCAGAGAGCGAGCAATGAGAACGAGAAGAGAGTACCGGAGAGAGGTACAAAGGTTCGCTCGCTGCCCAGATACCTGTATAACAGTGAGCCGCGGGGTCCGTATCCCAACCGGCCCCGAGGTTGCAAACTAGAGCCTAAACCCTAAACCTCCAAAACAAACCGTAGTTGAGGGTCACTGAAGAATGATGGGTTTAGGGCTTAGGGTTTAGGGTGTTTTTGTTGTTATATTTGATCGATCCAGTGAGTTTGGAGCGGCTGGGTGGTTAAACAGCCCCGCCAACCCAACTCCGTATCCTTTCCATACCTCAGCGGGAGTTTGAGGCTTGTTGGTTGAGCTTACAACCCCCAAGCCCCTAAACCCTAAAAGCCCTACTAAGCCCTTAACCCTTAAAGGGGCCCTTAAAGGAAATCCATACATGAGTCCTATCGAGCCCTAGAACCCTTATTGAACCCTTGAAGAACCCTTATATAGGATCTATGAAGCTTCAGAGAAACATAGCCTGGAGGTCCTATAGAACCCATAGATTACCTGTATAGAACCCTTTATAGAACCCTTATAGGGTTTAGAGTTTAGGGTTTAGGGCCCTTAAAGAAGCCTCAATGAAGCCTCTCGATTCCTGCAAGGATATCAATTTCAAGGAGCCGATGCTCATCACCAACGCGACGAGTCTGCCGGGCACTCAAGACTTGGTAGTATAGAGTAGGGTTTAGGGTTTAGGGTTTAGGAGTACCCTAAGGGTTCATGTGCCCAAATCGTATAGACTTTGGCCTCGAAATACCTAAGACATACAGCGAATCCCAGAAACTTGGAAGTTTAGGGTTTTAGGGTTTGGGGTTTAGGGTTTAGGGTTTAGGATTGGTGCTAGGATCCGATCCCTTATACGTTACCTTTAAGGGCATGAGGGTAATCCTATCCCAACTTTCTGGCTTCTACTATAGTAGTAGAGTACGTAGTCTTCAACCCAGAGACTCCAAAACCTTAAGGAGTATACCTTAAATTGTAGGAACCCTAATGAAATTTCAGTCCTTTGTCAAGAGGTTTTGGAGCCAAGCCCTGACCTCTAAACCTTAAACACTCTGGGTTTGGACCCTACTTGACCCTAAACCTTAAACCCTCTACCCTAAACCCTCTACCCTAAAAACCCTAAGCCCTACAGCTTGACCTTTCGTTCCCGATGATATTGGACGTAGCGGAAGAGACGAGCCTGGAGGGCCACAGGGGGTACTTTTTGGGTTTAGGGGTTTGAAGGTTTGGGGTTTAGGGTTTGTGGGTTTAGGGGTTTAGGGTTTAGAGGTTAGGGGTTTAGGGGTTTAGGCGTTTAGGGTTTAGGGGTGTAGGGTGTAATTAGGAAGATTAGGAACCAGGTAGGCCGATGGGGTTATGTTTAATTTCCCTCATGAGATCCCATTTTATTCTTTACTGTTCTCAAAACTCATTGTTTGCATTCAAACATAGTATATTAAGAGTATATTTAATCTCCGAGGGATTACCAAAACATATCATGGTTATTGCGGTTGGAAGAGTGCCTAATAAGTTTCAATGGCTCTCTTGGGCGAACCTAGGGAACCCGAATAGCTCATCATCCAGGTCCCGTGTTCTTGAGGGTTCCTTGTGTCAGGCTCTGGGGTTGAGGGTTTAGGGGTGTGGAGTTTAGGGTTTCGGGTTCGCCCGAGGTTCCATGCACAAGAAAAGCTACTTAGGCCTTAAAGTACCTTATTTTAGAACCCCGTTAGGGCCTCGATATATACTACATTGGCACGTGGAGCCATAGGGCTGCTGAGTGGTTGTGCAGGGGGTTCTATCTAAGCCAGTGTTCAGGCTTAGGGTTTTCGCGCTGTTGAGCCAAGCTTTAGGGGTCAGGATCCCTAAACCCTAAACCCTGAACCCTAAACCATTTAAGAACGTGAACCCTAAACCAGCCAACTAACCAACCTAAACCGACACCTCCAGACTATGTTTCAAAGACTGAAGCTTCATAGTTCGCCTTAGAGTAGCCCTCTATAGAGGCTCAAAAATTGGAAACCCAATAGCCTCAATCCTTGATTAAGAATCGTGTATAGGGGTTTAGGGTTTAGGAGGAATCCCAGCACTATTTCTCCTTAACCCGGTTTCCTCCACCACGTGGCTGCCTGCGGCGGGCGTCCAGAGTGGTCGGATGCCCCTAAACCCTAAACCCCGCAGACCCTGGCCGCTCCGCGAGCCGATGTGAACGCCAGACACCGCGGAACGCAGCGCACGGCCGACGGTTTAGGGTGTAGGGTTTAGGGTTTAGGGTTTAGGGGTGGACATGGCGAAGGCAGAGGCAGGAACTTCGAACTCCTAAACCGTAAGGGTCCATGTGCCCAAATAGTAGAACATTGGCCCTAAAGTACCTATATAGGGACTAAATT